TATAGGTGGAGTTCCACCTGGTCGGTACATCCAAACACACCAATTTGGTAGAATCCAACTCCAGAAATTGCATAGCAGGCTTGAACCTTGCCAACCTAGCTGGCGATGACCTCACCCACTTCACACAGTCCCGAATTCTATCCACAGCTCCTCCGATTACTTTCAATCCATCCTGCACCACCAGATTAATGATGTGTGCGACACATCAAAACTGCAGATACTTCCCATCCATCAAATCACACCCCCACTCCTTTAATTTCCTTCTCATGCAATCACTCACAATATCATTTGTAGATGCATTGTCCATGGTCATGCAGAACAGATTCTTCACCTTCCATTCTTCAAGAATTTCTGCAAGCTTCTTCAATATCATTTCCTGTATTACTTGTGATGGGAACAAAGGAGATCACCTTCTTCTGCAACTTCCAATCACCTCCAACAAAGTGAGCAGTCACACACATGTAATTTTTGTTGTTGTCAGAAGTCCACGTATCTGTGGTGATTGAAACTCTGCCTTTGCTCTTTGATTCAAAAAACTCTATCAAATTCATCTTTTTCTCCAAGAATATATGAAAGCAATCATCTCTTATACCTCTCCTTCTAGGTATCTTAAATAGTGGTTGAACCGTATGCATAAACTTCTTAAACCCGTCTCTTTCCACAAAGCGAAAAGACAACTCATCCATTATAATCATCATGGCTAAGGCATATCTTGCTTTTGCTTCATCAAACTTCCATAAAGAACTTACTTGACTTCCACTACCATCTGCGGCCTGCAAGTTCAGAACAGTCTGATCCTTGGATGCTGCAACCTTAGCCAAACATGATTTCCGATGGTTATTCATTGCAGAAGTGTCGTTCTTAGATGGATGTGATTTCATCTTAGTATGATAATGCTTGCACTCTCCCATCAGATACTCATCCCTAGCCACCTTCGTAAATTCCTTCCAGCAATCAGTTGTACCCTTTGTCTCCAACCATGTCTCTAGATTGAAGGGATCGTCTTTAGCTTTATTTGAAGTCGGATTAACAGTTTCTACTGAAGGAGCCTCAGCAGCAGGTGTACTTCCACTACCGGCATGGGCGGGAGTCGATGCAATTGATGGCGACGCTGACGGTTCAGCAGACTGAACAGGCCGACTCCCTGTACGTCCATCACGACCCCGATTCCGAGTAGGAGGGGCTGAGGCACCCGCACCACCACGACCTTGAGAAGTCGGAGTCTCCCACCACGAGAAGTCGTCTCAGCGGATGGTGCACCTCGTCCGCCACGTCCACCACGTAGAGCTGGAGGTCTCGCCCTACATCAATAGTTACACATATTTAAAATTGAAAACTAAATTCACAAATTCTAACAAGTAACAACTAACAAGCATCATCAAAATCATCAATCATCATCATTCATCAATCAAAATCATCATTCATCATCATTCATCATTCAAAATCATCATTCATCAATATTTTCATCATTCATCATCATTTTACATTTCATCATCATTCATCATTTAATTAATTTCAACCAACCAAAGAGCTGAGACTAACAAACAAAAGAGAGAAAGAAAACACAGATAGATCATAGGCCTAGCAAGCTTCAGAGCTAGAGCACTACTCTATAAAAACCCCAGCACCACTCTATAGATCATAGGCCCAACACCATTATATAAAAACCCCAGCAATCCAATCTTCTTCTCAATTCACACACCTCTACTCCTCCTTCAATCAGCACAAAAATGGCGTCCCTTCCCCATTGCATAATTCTCCTCTCCCTCATCATTTCCACCCTTACAATCTCCACCATTTCTCAATTCATAGCTCTCAGGCCTTACTCCTCAATCTCATGCACTGCAATCCACTACTAATCATTGATCAAAACCCCCTAATCACATACTACACAAAATTATGGACTAAAACCGCTAATCCCCCCCCCCCCCCCGCCCCCGCTGTTTTGGTCTTGGAAACCTGGGGGGAAAAATTTTGTTCTTACTCACTTCTTGTTATCGAGACCTTCAATGCAAGGAGATGTAGGACTGGAGGCGCGGCGATAGCAGATTGTTGACTGGCGCGGCGATGGCGGACTGTTGACTGGAGGCGATTGGAGGGAGGCGGCGACCGGCGAGGCGATTGGAGGGAGGCGGCGACCGGCTGTGCTGTGGGAGTAGCGGGCTGGCGGCTGTGCGACGGCCAACGAGAGGGTCTGAGGAAGGATTTTGCCAAAACGAGAGGGAGTGAGGTTGTGGCGCTGTGCGACGAGAGGGTCTAGGGTTGGGGATGAGGTTGGGTCGTTTTGTTCACAGGCAAAAATGGAGCCGTATTGTCGGTCGGTAAGCCGGTTAACCATTCAGTTAATCGGCTAACCGCCTAACCACAGACAGTCTCCGCCAACCGACCGCGATTCGTTATTTTCGGTTTCCGGTTAGCCGCTAACCGGCGGTTAACGGTCAGACCGACCGGTTAGCCGCTAACCGGCAACCGAAATGACAGCCATAGTAAGCATCATTTACCACTTTGAGAGCTTCCAGTCATTCATGAAAATCCTGCCAACACTTCCTGCTAAATTGAACAAATTAATCATAAAGTCATGTTAATACAAATCAAACACCAATCCATAAACAGAATCGCAAACCATATTAAACCCCCCTGAATTAACTCGGCCAGTAACCTAAATCTCAAATTTAGCAAGCTTAGTTGATCAGTGTAGAATTAGAAGGGAACTGAGAGAGTATCACCTAGAGTCCTTGTATCAGACCATATGAAAAGTTCTACCTCTCCTCGACGCCACCATTTTCATTGGAAGTACTTGCCGGGGTTGGCTGACTTCCTCTTTTTCCTCTCGATAATAGAGTGGCCTCTCTGCCGCCGACAAAGTCCAAAGTATGCTACATGCATAGTTGAAACCCCGTAGTAGAAAAGTGTATTAGAATCCTAACACATCCAAAATTGAATAAAAATCAAACATGCATTAGGTTTTCTTTAGTTCTTCTATAACAAGGATATTGTGATAATCTCTTCAAGCCGAGTACAAAATGACATAATTAAATCAGAACCCTAGAGTGCAAATTGGAAATGATACTCTGTCAATTACAATTGATTCCAAACAAAACCCTGTTGTGAGAAATTTAATCCCTCTCCAAAATCGTACTTCCTTCATTCTAGTTATGCTAAATTACTTTGTAGCTGCAGCTGCAACTGCATGCGATTAAAACAGATATAGAAAGGATCGCGTGTTGGGCTCAAATAAGAAAGAAAGGAGGAGTTTAAATACAGACAGGGACAAGATTCATGTATAAACATACCTCAGCTGTAGCCTGCTGACCTAGAGAACTCTTCGGGACAGAAGGAACATGTGGTAAAGACGGAAGAAGGGAATGAAGGATTGAGAGTGGCAGAACGAAGGGATTCTAGTTAAACCCAATCTTATCATAGAATAACATTGGATTGAATAACTAAAATAAAAAATGTCATAATGACTATAGTAACTACGGATCCAGATGAGGGCTGGGCCGGGGCCTGGGGTGGCCACCCCCTGGATCCGCCAGTGATCAATAACCTAATCTTTGTAAAGTCAACTTAGAATGATCATGCTACTTCCCACTTAATTCATGATTTTACATATTAAAAATAAATCACCACAGATAGAAGATGGCATTTGTGTTGGTCAACCAAATTTGCATATGTATAAGAAGAAGAAAAAAAGGAACGTATCTATTGGAGAATAGTCAATGCATACGAGTTATTTATTAAATTTTCAATCTATATATTATCAAATTTTGTGTTGTTCGCAGGGTTGTTTACTAAAATTTAATGTGTGTAATGTCCAGTGTTTTCAATTATTTTACCATTAAAGATTGACTTCCAATGAAAAAATAAGTAGGAATAGCCTATTGTGAATAAAAAAGTTTACGTTAAGGAAGACAAAGACATTGGTAATTGGTGGAGATGATTTTGCTTTAGAAGACGAAGGCAGAACAATAACAAGAATTTCAAAATAAACTTTCAAATATTTATTGGCATCGAGTAGCAAATAATGTAACGTCTAATTTAATTTTTAGAAGTCAATTTCCTTGCAAAATTTTTCTCTTTGTACGTTGAGTAAGGACTTCAGTCAGTAAATCGGGTCAGCATTTTGAAAATTATATGAGTATGATATTTCCAATAACTAAATTATTTAAAAATTTTATGGTATGAAATAAAATATCTTGCTTCGGACAATTACTAAGGTTATTTATACTATTAACAAAATTCATCCGGCCAACGGGTGGGCCCTAACCTAGTATCATAATATAAAGGGACAAATTCTCTTATGGTAAAAACTGCACGTATACCTTTAACTCTATGGTACAAGTTGAATTTGTATTTCGAAAGAAGACTCCCACTTTAGAGGTACAAAGCGTAAGGTTTATAAACTCTAATTTACCGTGGTATGTGAATATTAACTTGATAAGAAGCTCATTTAGTTGGTTTATTGGGACCGAACAAATTAAACTTCCAAGAGAAAGAAAGAGTTTAAGGGATCCATCCCCTTACTTACCACATCAAGAATTGTCTTGGAATGGACAAGTTACGGTTCAATTACAACGATCCGCAAGGTGCGAGGATCATTAATGAGGACATAGGGTCAATGATGAAGTATCCAGTTGCCTTCCTAGCCTAGCTTGGGTTGCCAAATGCTTGCAAGTTTTCGATTATTGTAACATACTTGGTTTTGTCGTTAGTTGGGAAATTAAGAAAGATGTGTTGATTGGTTTATTTTATAGGATGGAGGTTACCGCAAAACTCGAGTTTGCCTTGTAGTGAATAGTGATTTGCAGGCGGGCCTCCGATCCGCACAATTTGACCGTCCGGGCGCTCTTACCTTGTTGGGTTAGTTATAAATAAAATGAAAGTTAAGATAGGCAGGTTAACTAACCAACTAATTAATAATAGAATTTAACGAATGATTGCATATTGGGTAGTCAGACACTTGGTATATAAACGCATTTGCTGCACCCATTTTTCTTAATCAAGAAGCCACACAACACACCACCACCACCATGATCACCTTCTCCCGTGTGCTGCTTCTTGTCGTCGCCGTCGCGATCTGCCTGCAGGCAAACCCTAGCCAGGCCATCCGGCCGACCTCGGCTAGCGACCCAGCTTGTAACTCTTATCAACAATCACTGTCGGGTAGCTGCATGGACTACTTCACCGGCAAAACCGACGGCGACCATGTGCCTCCTCAGTGCTGCCAAGTCCTCGCAGCCTATACCTCCAAGTTGGGAACCAAAGGGGAAAAGCAGCAAGCCTGCAAATGCTCCCACGATTTATTCACTGCCTCCGGGGTGAAGCAGGACCGCCTCTACAAAGTTCCAACAGACTGCAAACTACCAGTGCAAGCCGACTGCAGCAAGTAATTAACAAAGGCCTCCCATTTTTTCTATTCAGCTATGATTCGATCGCATTATTTGTTATTCATATCTCTAACATCGTCGACCATGCTAGCTAGCAAGTGTTCCTTTTCCTTAAATAATTGTATCTAAAATTATTAATTCCCCCCTGCAGGATTAATTAAGTGGATGATCCCTGCATAACATTATTGTTCACCAATCAGTCGCGCGCGCACATGCAAGGAGTTCATTTTCCAGGAAGAAGAATATTTATGAGAAACAACATATATACTATTATAGATCGTTTTTAAGTAATCTCATCTAAATTTCGGAATTTGAAGGTTTCTTTCTTTTGTACCACGTACAATAAGTGGTTAACCCACAACTTTACTTATATGCTACTTTCTTAATAAATCAAATATTACCTATATTGACAACTAAACTTTTGCTATATAATAGTCCGACAATATTAATTACCTATGTGCGTATGAACAATGACAAAGTCAGGATTAATTAGGGGGATGATATTGATTGCTCTACTAGCTCCCTCTTACATAACATTATTTTTCACCAGTCAGCAGCACACACATGCAAGGAGTTTATTTTCTAAAAAGAAGAAAATTATATGAAACGACTATATTATTGTAGATCGTTCTAATTAATCTCATCTAAATGTCGCAATGTTTCTTTCATGACACAAAATAAGTGGCTCCTCCACAACTATACATACATGTGTTGCTTAATAACTCCAAGATTATCTATATCTACAACGAAACTTTTGTTCGATCGAGAACCAAGAGCATCAATTATCTATGTGTGTATGGACAGTCATGACAAGGTCAGGATTTAAAATGACAGTCAAAAGGGGTTGGAAATAAATAACAAAATACAATAGTATATATTCAACTATCTCAACTCTAATCTTGGATGACAACTAACACTAGCCACATTCTTAGCGTAAGAAAATAGAGGTGTTGATTAATTTTTGTCACTGAATCTGCTTTCCATTCAAAAATATCAAACAAGTTAAGGCCACAAGATCCTGATCTAGTCATATATCAATAATCAATGCGAGTGACTGTGTGTTGTATTAGTTGGTGAATCTATTATACAAGTTTGAAGAATGAATTCAAGTTTCATTAAGAATGTAAAATAAAGGGTCCAAAATTTGTGTGCTAATTAAGCAATGGACACATGCCCATCTCTCTAGTGCACAAAGTTTTGATGGACATCGAAGCATGATAAGATTGGAGTCGGCTATAATTAATGAGTTACTTGATTGTGATTTGGGCGGTTGGCGACGCCCGTGCGAATTCCAACATTTCTTTACAACTCACCAGCGATCTTGAAGTCCATGGCGGGCTGAAAACTCGATTTCCATCTTGTCAAGTGCTGGTGATGCGGCCAACAAGGATCGTACAAAAGCCATATCCAACTTTGTAGCCTCAAATTGCTCCATCTTCATGCGGTTGAGTTTCGGCCAGCTACTTTTGTTGTCATTTATAAGCTTTGGATCACAGTCGTCTACGGCAGCAGATATGTGTTGCTTCCCAATCTGCAAGCATTGAAACACAGGAGAAAACCCTAGCTTACTTGGATGAAAATATCCAAACATGCAGTTTCGTGTAAAACACACGGAATGGAATATATATACTCATGTCACGTACGTTGATAATTAATTCATGCAAATCTGTAGAAATGTTGAGGAAGCTAATGGCACACCACACATAGGCAAAACACAGTGTGGTGTGTGGCAGTTCATTCATTCTTAGCTGCTTAATGCTACTCCAGAGCCACTACGTAACGTATCTCCATGTTCAACAAGTACTGAAACATACACCAAACATATAAAATCGTCAGAATTCAATTCGTCTACCCAGTTGCCTGCCAATTGAAGTTCTTACGTTGTAGAAATAACCAGACAGAGAAAGCTGCTCCACTGCTGGAAGGCCGTTTGTAAATCTCGACATGTTAAAGTATCCTTTGTCCTCAAAGAAGCTGATATCTTGATGAACATGCACAATTTTGAGGAGGGGAGTATGCTTGAACTCCAGCAAGCTGGAGCTCCCCGCATCACGAAAATATTCGAGTTTTGGAGCCTCGATGACGATGCTAATCTTGTCGTAGAAATCGTCACAGCCTACCATGGTCAATGCAGAAAGCGACGGGCGGTTAAAGCTGAAACGAGCTTCTTCACCACCGCCAATTTTTGGTACAGCCAAACCTCGAAGCTCGAAAACATCTAGCTCAGCGCAGTCGAATGCCACGTTGGAGGATCTGAACTGGCAGCCACACAGTTTCAAGTTCTTGAGCCGGGCCAAGGAGAAAATGCACCTCGGCAGCACATGGTCTTTGATGTCAATGGACAGGGACTCGAAGCGTCGGTCGGTCAGAGAGCCGATGATTTGGCCGATCCGATGGTCGGGAAACGCGCTTCTTAGATCGGAGATCAAGAGGGAGAAGTTGTTCAGGCAAGCACGGTGGCGCATAAGGACGTAGAAAACGTTCAACATCAGTTTGCTGTTGGCAGCTGATGCTAGTTCCCCTGCAACTGGGTTCACTACCATACCAAATTTATTACAGTTTGAATACAGAACTAAAGAAGAAGGAGAGAAGAGCTGGATTGATTCGAACCATGGTGGAAGCTTAATGAGCTTGTGATACGGAGTCGTTTTCCTCAGAAGCAATTGAGGAGCTGAGCCAAGACGTCGTCGTCTCACTTAAGTGTTTCACCTCTTTCAATTTTACTGTAGTTGTACAGATGTCTTGTTCTTATTTGTAGATAGTTTGATTTGAAGTTTGTTACCGTTAAAACAGAGCTTAAACTTGTATAGATGCTTTTAGACTTTGATATATATACACCCTTTGAGGCACCAGAATCTCTTGCGGGTTTCCACCAATTTCTGCTCTAATACCTAATTTCATATGGTATCAGAGCCTGGTTGGCTCATCTAGGGTTTCATCACCCAGTCCAACCCCGCATTCTTGATTCTCAATTGCATACACCAACAATGTCTACTAACCCCAATTCTTCTTCTTCTTCTGTGAGCTCTAGCTCATTCTCTGTCCCTTCCACGGGCACAGTTACAAACCCATTCTACATAAACCCTAATGAATCATTGGTCTTTCCTATCAAACTTTCTGGAACAACAAACTACAACCTCTGGAGCAGGATTGTGCGAGTGGCTCTCAAGAGTAAGAACAAACTTGGGTTTATTACTGGAGCCATTCCAGCTCCACCACCCACTGATGAAGGCTATGCAGCTTGAAAGCAAAGTAATACAACTGTATACTTCATTATCTTGGGATATCTGGATCTAAGTTTGGTTCATAGTGTGTCATCTCAGGACAATGCAAGGCTGCTTTGAGAAGACCTTAGACAGTGTTTTGGACAAGCAGACAACATCAGGATTACAGATCTACAAACTGCTCTCTACACTGTCAAACAAGGTAATAGATCTCTGAACCAGTTCTATTCAGATCTGAAAGGTTTTTGGGAAGAACTAGTCCAGTTTTTACCTATTCCTGAGTGTGCTTGTTGTTGGGGGGGGGGGGGGGGAGAGAATAGGAACCCTACCATACCTTGCATTACTGAAACCACAGGGAAGAAGTATAGGGAAAATGAGTTTGTTACTCGTTTTATTACTGGTCTTAATGATGCCTACAGTGGAGTTAAGACGAATCTGCTTATGATGCAACCTTTTCCTTCAATGGAGACTTCTTTCCATTATGCTATACAGCATGAGAGGCGGGTTGCTAAACCTAGTCCTGAGGCACAGGTAGACTTAGTTGCTTTACTTGCAGCAAACAAGTCTAGAGGGAAGGAGAATACCAATGCCAAAGGAGGTCTTTTCTGCAGATATTGCAAGAAAGACAATCATGTTATTGCTGATTGTTATAAGTTAAAGAGAAAGAACAAGGAACAAGGAGGAAGTTCTAGGTTTGCTGGGCAAGTTCAAGGGGCTGACAGTTCTGGATCTGGGATTAAATCTAGACCTGAAACGAGGGTAGCATCAGAGAGTGGTGACAACTACACCAATATCAGGCTTTCTCATGATGACCTCAGTCGATTGCAGAAACTTCTTCACCAGTTCAGCCCTCCAACATCTCCCGCATCTCCTGTATCTCTAGGAGAAGCACCTAATATCATCAATCAGAAACAAACACCCTTGGTGAACTTAGTTAGCAGGCATTTGTCTGTTAATCCTAATTCCTCAGGTAAATACACACTATCAACATACTTTCTAAAGCACCCAATGGAGTTTGCCAGTGTTTGGTTTTTAGATACTGGGGCAACAGACCATGTGACTTGTTCATTGTCCAATTTTGTTAAATATGTCCCTATCCAGAACACTTCCATAACCCTACCAAATGGATATAAACACCAGCAACTCACTCTGGTAGTGTTAAGTTTGATTCTGGATTAGTCATTCATGAGGTGCTATTTGTACCTACATTTTCTTTCAACCTCATTTCACTTAGCAAGTTAACCAAGTCAATACCAGTATCACTTACCTTTGAATCCAACCTTTGTCATATCCAGGACCTTCAATCCATGAAGAGGATTGGTTTTTCCAGAGAGACTAGAGGCCTATACCAACTTTCCATATCATACCACTCATGTGAATTCCATCAGAACGCAGAATTTTACACCACAATCCTTTGATTTATGGCACTGGAGGCTTGGTCACCCTTCAAATTTTCGAGCTAAAGAGCTACAGAAGACTTGTCCAAACATAGTTATAGAAGCTTTTTCACATTGTGAAGTTTTTCATATTTCCAAACAGAAACACTTACCTTTTCCTTCAAGCCAGTCTGTGGCAAAGAGCATTTTTGGGCTCATTCATGTAGACATTTGGGGGCCTTTAGCCATTTCTAGCTACAATGGATTTCAATACTTTCTAACTATTGTTGATGACAAGTCAAGGTGTGTTTGGGTCTATCTTATGAGACACAAGAGTGAGGCTAGAAACCTACTGCATGATTACTGTGTTATGATTAAGTCTCAGTATGGAAAACAAGTCCAGGTTGTTAGATCAGATCAAGGAGCAGAATTTCACATTCCTCAGTTTTACTCTCAACATGGCATCATACACCAGATGTCATGTGTTGAAACACCACAACAAAATGCCAGAGTTGAGAGAAAACATCAACATATTCTGAATGTTGCTAGGGCCTTGAAGTTCCAGTCTGGATTACCTCTTAAATTTTGGTATGATTTTGTACTCCATGCTGGTTTTCTCATTAACAGACTTCTTACAGTGGCCCTTGATAACAAAACACCCTATGAACTTCTCTATGGTTCACCACCTGACTTATCCCATCTTAGAGTTTTTGGATGCCTTGGATATGCCAGCACTTTGATGCACAACAGAACAAAGTTTTAACCTAGATCTAAACCTTGTGTGTTCCTTGGTTATCCACCAGGCATTAAGGGTTACAAATTATATGACCTTACAGACCAGAAGGTTATAGTTTCCAGACATGTTGTGTTCCATGAACACATTATACCTTGCCTTCAAAACCAGAATGTTTCAGTTCCTTCCCCTTCTTCTTCTCCTGAACCAACTTCTATCCCATCAACTTCTGGTTCCCCCTTTTTCCCACCATCAAACCACACAATTACTCACATTCCTTTCCAACTACCACCTGACTAGGAGCCTTTGGAGAACTCTTCTCCTTTACCCTCTACACCTCCTTCTACACCTTTGGAGACTACTTCTCCACTTCCTTTTCCAGATATCAATACAAAATCCACTCCTCATGTGACCAATTCCTCACCTTCCCCTTCCTCACCTCCAAACATGAATCCCTCTTCTTCACATACTCTTCCTATAGCCCTCAGAAAACAACCAAGACATATTACACAACCAGTCAAATATGATGATTATGTTCTTAATTTGAAAACTAACACTGGTAAACATATCTATCCATTGGTTGCTTGCCTTTCCTATGATCAACTGTCATTGGGATATAGAAAGTATGTTTGCGCTGTGGATTCACATTGGATACCAGGATCTTTTGAGGAAGCAATGCAGGACAACAGGTGGAGGGATGCCATGATTCTGGAAATTAAAGCTTTGTTAGCTAACAATACTTGGGATGTTGTTCCATGTCCTGAAGGGAAAAGACCGATTGGGACTAGATGGGTGTTCACCATCAAGTTCAATCCTGATGGATCAGTGGAAAGGTACAAGGAACGCTTGGTAGATAAGGGCTACACACAAATATATGGTATTGACTTCTTGGATACCTATTCCCCTGTTGCAAAGCTGAACACTGTCAAAACTCTTCTTGCCATTGCTTCTGCTAAGAATTGGAACATGTCTCAGTTAGATGTTAGTAATGCATTTTTGCATGGAGATCTCGAAGAAGAGGTTTACATGGATTTACCACCTGGTTTCACTCAACCAGGTCATGTATGCAAACTTAAGAAGTCTTTGTATGGGTTAAACCAGGCTTCTCGTCAATGGTTTTCCAAGTTGACATCATCTCTGATCACTTTTGGTTATTCTCAGTCCACTAGTGATTATTCTCTCTTTACACATCATGGGAAAGATGGTACTTCAGTTTTGTTAGTCTATGTTGATGATATCATCATAGCAGGTGATGATGTTCAGGTCATGGTGGCTTTGAAAGCATTTCTCAAGACTCAGTTCAAAATCTGTGATCTAGGCACTCTCCACTACTTCCTGGGTTTAGAGATTGCTAGATCAAGGGAGGGTTTACATTTATGCCAACGCAAGTACTGTATTGATCTGCTGCAGGACACTGGTTTTGCTGATTGCAAGCCAGTGGTTACCCCAATTGACATGAAGACATATCTGTGTGCAGATGATGGCCCTCTTCTTGATGACCCTAGCTTGTACAGGAAGATCATTGTTAGATTTCACTACCTTACTATCACTCGTCCTGAGATCACCTTTGTTGTTCAGCAACTGTGTCAGCATCAGAATGCTCCTACATCATCACATCTACAGCTTGCATACAGGATCCTTAAGTATTTGAAGAATGCACCAGGTCAGGGCTTACTCTATCCAGCACAATCTGATCTTATTCTTAGAGGGTATTGTGACTCTGATTGGGCATCATGTCCATATACTAGAAGGTCCACCACTGGTTACTGCATTTCGCTTGGAAAATCCCTAATTATTTGGAAATCTAAGAAGTAGGGAACTGTTTCCCGTTCTTCCCTGAGGCTGAGTACAGAGCTCTTGCTCAACTCACTTGTGAAGTTGTTTGGGTAAAGAGACTGTTACAGGAGCTATCCATTGTTCATTCACAACCTGTGCATCTCTACTGTGACAATCGATCTGCTATATACATAGCCGAGAACCCTGTGTTCCACGAAAGGATGAAGCACATAGAGATCGATTGACATGTGGTTCAACAATTCTTACAATCCAAGCTCATCAGTCTAAGTCACCTTGACAATGAAAATCAAGTTGCAGATCTATTCACTAAGGGGTTTAGCAGATATAGACTTCAGTTCTTGTTATCCAAGCTGAACATATACAACATGTATATGTCAGCTTGAGGGAGGGTATTACAGTTTGAATACAGAACTGAAGAAGAAGGAGAGAAGAGATGGATTGATTCGAACCATGGTGGAAGCTTAATGAGCTTGTGATACGGAGTCGTTTTCCACAGAAGCAATTGAGGAGCTGAACCAAGACGTCGTCGTCTCACTTAAGCGTTTCACCTCTTCCGATTTTACTGTAGTTGTACAGCTGTCTTGTTCTTATTCGTAGAAAGTTTGATTTGCAGTTTGTTACCGTTAAAACAGAGCTTAATCTTGTACGGATGCTTTTAGACTTTGATATATATACGCCCTTTGAGGCACCAGAATCCCTTGCGGGTTTCCACCAATTTCTGCTCTAATACCTAATTTCAAAAAATTTGTCATCGAAAACAAGGGAGGGCATGTTCATCCAAATGTTCAGCCATTCACTTGACAGAACACTTGTCTTTGCTGCTTCTCGTATGGGCAGAAACGTCAGGATGTGCTCCACAACATTGCCTGCCAACTCACTGATTCTGTCTCTACCCGTCATCCTATAAACCGAACCAAAGCACAATTAATTTAGCACGTCTAACACGTACGAAGTTGGTATGTACGTACATACACTTGGTTGCTAAGCCTGATAAGTGATAATAGCTTTCACGTTAAGATATATATAGTATTCAGTGAATAGCAAAAAGACAAGGAAGAAAATTGAAGCGATGAAGCAAAAATAGCTACAAACCCTAATGTACGTTATTTATACGCTGACTACTTTAGAAAAGAAAATGAGGGAAGTAATTAAACTTGGCGCTCACCGTGTAGTGGTTATTACGCAGCCTTCGACTGCCGATTGCGACAGCTAGTTTCAGGAGAAGAAGAGGAAGTCGGGGACAGGGTTTACTGAGTTCGAATTCTTTGTATTTGCTTCTGATTTGGTGATTTCCGATCGACTACATGTAATGAATAATATCTTGTGTATTATTATGAATATAGTGAGGGGTATTTATACCCACAAGTGTACAGGTTTACATGTAGGACAAGGAAACAGAGTTACATATGAACGAGGAAACTTAAGATGACTTGGATAAAGATTTATCCCTAATACTACAGGACTATCTGTTTGTATTTTGTAACAACACAAAATGAAAGATAGTGGGTACCCTAACCCAACCTTAGTTTGTGAGGTCTTAATCAGTGTCCATGAAACCGTATCGTACCGGCGGTTAAACCACGAAATATCAGTATTGGAGGCTAATCCAATAGGCGGTATTTATCAATATAATGGTTGAACTACGGTTAAACCACGGTTTTACCGTAAAATACCCTACTGCTGACTTTTCCGGTACGATCTCCGGTACGGTTTCATGGACCATGGTCTTAATGCAAGCCCGTTTAGTAAAAGCCTAATGTAATGGGCCAAGCTCTCTACCTCAGCTCTTACCCATCAAAGACGGTCCAAATCTCAAGGATCGATCCCGTTTTCATCTTCAGTTTCGGTCAATCTTATTTCAAAACTTAAATCATAAAGTATATTAAATAGGGAAATGATATTTTGTGAAAACTTTTAATATTTTAAGTTAAAACATGTTGACCTGCCAGTTTAGTGGCGTGTTGACCGTTATGTTGGATCGTTAGTGAACGATTTTGACCCTCCAACATAACGGTCAACTCTCGTGTTTGGCCAATTTAGTAAAGGTTACTAGTTAGGGTTACGATAGGCTACAATGTTATATATTGAATAGATTGTCTATAATATTAAATATGATAAAAGTTCGGGTAGACAAATATATTAACCCTAAAAAATTCATTAATTTGACATGTTAATATTCACTGAAACTAGTGTAAGCATCATGCAAACAGACTAGGTGTAAGCACACTAACATTTGCCTAATCAATATATGTGATAACTTATAATAAACATATAGTTGTTTTATGAAATTAGTGTTCTTTTTAACTATTCCTTTAGATTTGGTGAATAATTATTGTACTTTTTTCATTTATATTATGTTAATATATGTGTTAACATTAATATCTTTGAAGTAATATAGAGAAAATATTAGCTGAATCACGATTGGGTAGGGATATAATATTGATTTTCTACTATATTTTTATGTGAGTATAGATCTATCAAAATAGAACCCGAACCGAGTAACCCATCCCTTCAACCCGACACGCAACCCGACCATAACGCGAACCGACTAAAAGTCAATGATCCATAACCCGCCCGACCTGTAACCCGACTGACCACAACTCGATCAACCCGCAAATCGACTGACCTGCAACCCGATTGAGCCACAATCCGATTGAATCCGAATCCGATTAACCCACAACCCCATTGACCCATACCCGACTATCCCGAACCCGCCCGATTGACCATAATAATTACTGTATATAAATAATATATAGTCTTTCCAAATGAAGTTTTATGTTTCAAACCTAGGCAAAACCAATTTTTCAATTCTCTTAAGCGATGTTCAAAATGTAAAATTTACTAGAAATGATGTATTTTTAATAAAATTACAAAAAATTAAAACGTGAAGTTCACAACTTTAAGTTCATCTTAAAAAATATAAATTATGTGCAATGTATTGAAAACTTGGAGTTTTAGTCGGTTAAACGATCGTTATTGCAAATAACTCAAGCTTTTAGCTAACTGGAGCTCGAAATAAAATATCTCGGCTCGAACTCGATTCAAGCTCAACCAAACTTGAGCTCAGCTCGTCAGCTAAAATCTAAGAATTTGGAATAAGCCAAGCCAAATGAATCGTACTCATTGAACAACCCAAATCTCACTTTGACAACAGCAAAAAACAGTCATCGTCGACTAAAAGAAACCTTAATAAGAGACCCAATTATTCAAAGGCCGAGCTATTAAAACCATTTACACATAAATATAAGGCAATGTCAACATAAAAATGTTGCCAGCTTAGCACTTCCTCTGCAACCCGCACAATTCGGAGGGATTGATTCGTCAATTCAACCTCTTTGATTATTAATCTAAACATATCTTTATGGAGGTTCTCCCCCATAACCCCTTAAAGTTCAATGTCTCTGGCTCATGCGCAGAGAAAAGAAGGACAGTTAGGTAAAAACGCTATTTTAATTGACATAGCCCATGGAAAGCAGAAAAGGGAGGATAGAGGGAGGCAGGGAGCTTCTACGTGTAGGTCGTGGAAAGAAAAAAGAAAAAAAGATATTTAATTTATAAGAGTAGAAGCTACCAGGTGATCAACATATATGAGTAGCCTGAAATATTAATTTATATTTAGGTTAATATTTTCGTACGGCCTGAACTTAGACCAAAATAAACATTCTGGCCAATCTTTTCGATCTATAACATCCTGGCCCGAACTATAAACCAAAATAAACAATTTGGCCAGATCCGACTTTTAACGGTTAACTTGGACGGTCAAACGCGTTTACTGTTAGTCAACGCACCATGTCACTGCCAACTCAGCAAGTTTAAATTAAAAAATTAACCTATTCCATTTTATTTCCTTTATCATTTTCACGGAAAAAAAACAAATTACTTATGCAAAACGCACGACCCCTGCCCTAAACCCCATTCTTCCTCTTCTTCGTCTCTCACTGAGTAGGCAGTGAGCATCTCGCCGATGTTCCGCCTAGAAACTCGCCGGAATCGAACTCATGACAGGTCCAAGTTTTTCAATTTCTCGCTGCCGAAAGACTCCGGCAGGCCACCGTCAACTTCAGCGAGACGAGACGAAGAAGAGGAAGAATGGGGTTTAGGGTAGGGGTCGTGCGTTTTGGAGAAGTAATTTGTTTTTTTCGTCTAAATTATAAAGGAAATAAAATGGAATAGGTGTAAATTAATTTCTTTTTTTAAATTTAAACTTGTTGAGTTGGCAGTGACATGGCGCGTTGACTAACGATCAACGCGTTTGACCATCCAAGTTAACGGTCAGAAGTCGGATCTGGCCAAATTGTTTATTTTGGTGTATAGTTCGGGCCAGGATGTTATAGATCGAAGAGATTGGCCAGGATATTTATTTTGGTCAAAGTTCAGGCCATACGAAAATATTAACCCTTATATTTACTGATGTTAACACATTGAGTAATTAACAATCTATCTACACTACTTATAAAACATTTTAAAGAGTTTGAATTGCCTCATTTCAAAATTCTTGCAACGATAGTGAAAGTAGGAAGGGTATTTTCGTCTACATAATCAATTTTTTATTTCATATAAAAAGATATCAATGCTAGAATTTGAACCATGGTCTCTTCCACCAAAACAATAATTGTAACCAATTAGACTACACACATTTGTTGTACTTTATTAATACAAAACATAGAGGAAGTTAAAATTATGAAAAACAAAGTACTTTTCTATCACGGTTAGTTAGCCTGCTAAGCCTACTGTAAGTATTTTGTGGTGTTTGGTACTTCTATTTTCATATTTTAATAATTAATTTAGAATTTTTTTCTAACTAATAAATGAAGGATAATCTTAAAATCTCAACACAAATATCATTGGTTTGAATATTGCACATTGAATTGAAGTGTTCAATGACGACATAAGAACACTGGTACCATACATTTCAAGAAATATAAACATGACAAACACCAATACCAATTATCTCGACAGTCTATGCTAAAATTTTGTTTAATCATTCAATGATAGTTTAGTCAAATCAAACAAATAATTCACAATTGTTTATGAACAAAAATAAAAACATATTATTGTCTTATGAAAAATGTATTTATTTTAACAATCTAAAATAAACAATAAAAACTTCCATACGACCCCTTATTTCAATAATGTAATTAACGAAATAATTTTTATCAGCATGATGCAATGTTCAAGCTAAGGTCCAAGTATTAATCACCAGTATATAGTATTCATCATAGTTAACTATTTCAATATCCACAACTAACTATTAATGGTTACTTGCTTTCTCTTATAGAGTTTAATGTAGCACTCTCATGCCTAGCTATGCTCTAAGCATTTGTTTTCTTTTTCACAATATCATTTGCGGTTATTTATTAAATCAACTTTGTTCCCAACTTTCAATTCCTAATTATTCACTTTTTCATACCAACTTATGGGAATGCTAAATATATTTTTCATGTCTAATCTATTAAACATAAATGTTTCTTATCACATAAATTCAATGCTATCCTGAGTTAGTACAATCTTTTGCGCTATCGATTCCAAATTCAATACATGATTATCTTATTACAATTTAGTCATACTAATTGTGCAGTAGGGGACATCTTATCAAAATCTTAAAGAAAGACTCTTTAATTGAACGCTTTCATGATGTAATCAATTATACTAAAATAGAAGTGATCAAATTTATAAGATGCACTCAAAGTTTGCTATAATTATTGAGGTTCAGCAGCACGTTATGCGTACGGCGGTCACTGGCCATTTGTCTATCTCCTATCTCGTCTAGACATGCTTAGACATTATAATAAAAATAGCAATTTTAATAATAATGAATAAAATAAGGATTCTAAAGCACTTTCATACTATAGTTCAAATGATTTAACAACAAACGAAATAACTCTCAAGTTTATAAATTATTTTCTTTTACCAAATGATATAATTAATTCATTCGTGAGCTGAAATAGCTAATTATAAGCACTTCAAATTTAAGTTAAAACTCTATATGATGCAATTGCTTGACGAAATGGGTATTATAATAGAGTGGTTCTATCGAGAGAGGTCTCTAAGAAACATGGCTTACTTTATTATTTCTTAGGTGGATATAATATCTATCTTCATCGTTCCTTTTACATTAGATTAAATTTAGTATACTTTTTCATTTAGATAGATTGTTTGATGATGTTCTGGGATGTAATATATCATTATATATGATGGTGTAGGATATTAATTCCTCTCATTTTAGGTTCAACTTGATGGATTTCCCCCTTTACCGTTCCCTTTTATTGGTTAATAATTTTTATGATATTTTTAACTTTGAAATATCGTGAGCGGAATCTATACACAACAATTTGTGTTTTTCCACTTCCTCTTCTCTTGGTTAGATATTGTGTCCATATTGATTCCTATATTGATTATCAAATTACTACTTTTTTGTTCTTTTTTCTTATGCAAGATATGATTTTATGTTTGATAATATAGATTTATTTTTCAAGCATGTGGATGCTTGAGACTTTTCATTTGCTTCATAACATACATTTTACAATGGCTCCAAACTCGGATGGGTTTCTATTCAGCACATAAATTTTTAATGATGTAAAATTTATAAAACTAAGATGCATATTAGTAAACAATGTAAGGTCTCATCTTCCCTCTTAAGCACTACATATCATTGTTTACTTACCATTAAATGAAAGTCTTCCTAATTTGAGTAAGAGCTACAATGACTTTTATTAACTTTCACTACTCATATATCACAAGTGTTCAACTCATTATCAAGTGTTCATGCAATGACTTTTATTGTTGTGGATTTCCCCCAAAATGTTAGGTATGTTGCTTTTAGTTTTTGCCTTCTTTTTTGCTTTGATTTAGCTTTTTATGTGTTGCTCTATTAGTTGAACTTGCCAGCTGGACATCTGCATGCTTAGTTTCATTATATCATTGAATACACTAAAGTCAATGGAACCATGACTGTGTCAGTTAGTTTGTTTCTTTTTAAGGACACTCTAAACATATACTTTGTTTCATTATATCATTGAATACACGAAAGTTAATGGAAAAGACAAAAAAAAATTATCGTATACTGAAGATTGATTATGTATATTTGATGTAAAACAACTCTCATCATTGTTCTTCTCGGACATTTTTATATAGATATGACTTTGTTTGAAAACATGTATTTATGTTAGTGTAGTTGGACATTATTTGTCTTTTTTCAAACTTCATTAGTCAAATACATTAAATACTTTTATATATTATTCATGGAGAACTTACCAAATTAAATAGTTACTTCAATCCCCAACAACATGAACCATAAAAAAAAATATACTTCAATGTTTACTACACATACACATGAAAACAAACTCTCCCGACCAATAGGTCAAGCTCTAATCTAGGGGAATAGATCGGGTCAGTAACCTTATGGTGAGTAACCATGAGTAACCCATTCACATCAGCATGACATCAGCATCCTCTCTCTCCTGTAAAGCCCTTAATTTTCCATTCTTTAATCTTTGACGGACGATTTCTCACTCATTTGAAGTCAAAATTTAATTTTTTTTGCACAGTTAGATCAGATTAATTGTGCTCTTCAAAACGATATCCACTTTAATATATTTTTCGAACAAAAAAATTTGAGCCATTTTTTACCAGTCTATACCATATGGTATTAACTGGTATTGAAATAAAAGCATACCTATGGTTTGAAAAACGTACCATGGTGGTATGAACAAACCAAGACTATAGGATGGTTGAATACATGATAGTAGAAGTATATTAATTGTCATTTACGAATTTTAACATTGTATATCACACAATACCACCCCGTACCAGGGTGGTATTGTATGGTATTTTTTGGTCCTGTAATGTGTTCACCCAGAAATTTGTAGATCCAATAGATCATGATGAACTCGTCCTTCTGTGTAAACGTTTTCAAAAATGAATTAAAAACGAAGAAGATACCATAAAATACCACCCCGTACCAGGGTGGTATTGTATGGTATTGTGTGGTATTTTTTGGTCCTGTAATTTGTTCATCCAGAAATTTGTAGATCCAATAGATCATGATGAACTCGTCCCTTCTGTGCAAACTTTTTCAAAAACGAATTAAAAACGAAGAAGATACCATATTGTATGCAGTTGGTACCGAGAGGCCAGAATTTTGTTTTCTCAAAAAATATTGAAAATTGATCTCATTTTGTAGAGCATGATGAACTCGGTCCATCTGTGCTAAAAAAATTAAAATCCGAGTTAAAGCGAAAAAGATATGAGTCAATTAAGAAAGCGAGAAAAAATAAAAATGGTCTTTAATTCTCCTTCCTTGAGTCTGAATTTTCTAAATAAAGGGTCCAGATTTGGTTATTGATGGGTATGCACCCATGGTTATACACTCTATCTTGAGCCCTAATCTAATAATAGATATAGTTAGTGGGGTTGCGTTTGATTTCCCTAATACATGTACATTACAGATATAGTTAGTGGGTTGGACACCTTAAATTTGATTGTGATAATCGTGTGCGACTTTAATTAGCTCGCTGTCAAATGAATTTTTTATGGTATATTTAATTATATTATTATTTTACATTAGATTCTCAATTCCATACCGCCAAAATCAATCTTTGTTAGGGTTTTGTTAATGTTTTATATAATCTTAGTTCTATAGCCAGCACAGATTTTGGAAGAGATTTGTAGGGGTTTGCTCCGAAATTTTAGGAGGCGATTTACAGGCGACTCACAGGCGGTCGCTTTCAGCCCTAGGGTTTGCTGCATGTCGGCGGCACACAGGGGGAGGAGGTCCAAGCACTCTCCACCAACCTGATGTTCTCGCCGGCAATCGCCGGCCACCGACGGAGTCTTCCTCACCTAACCCTAAAGGAGACCGGGAAGCACAACATACAAAAAAGAGAGCCAAGCAAACGGCACCAGTCACCACCATGCATGCGGAAACGGACGAAGTCATGATCACGGAGGAGGAACGTCGGACCCAACCTCCGAGTCCCCCTCCGAATGCCTGGAGCCAAGGAAAAGGAGCTGCGAAGAGACTTTTTGGTGCAGGGACAAGACTCAATGAATGGTACACCGCGGAATCGGATTCTGAGGATACGGCTGCTACTATCCGAGAGGATGGGCAAGATATGGGATTTGATGAAGTTGAGGACACTAAGTGCCCGCCAATATATTTCTCTCCAGCTGAAGAACGTCTTTATTGCAGAAACCTCTGATCAGCATTGGTGGTTAAAGCTCTAGGCCGAGCTGTCTCATATACAGCGGTCTCTTTAAGACTGAATGCGATCTGGGCAAAGGCGGGAGGTATCCAGGTCACGTCCATGAAAAATGGCTACTTCCTCGTCCGATTCACGAATGGGATGGACTATGACAGAGCGGTCATGAACGGACCATGGATGATAGGACCAAACTATCTAACAGTGCATATGTGGGACATGGATTTTGACCCATACAACCATGAAGTGGCTTCCACGGTGGTCTGGGCTCAACTGCTCGAGATCCCTATTCAATACTTTCACCAGGATGCAGTTATGAAGAACGGGCGCCGCATTGGTATCCCAATTCGGATAGATGAAGCTACTCGAACTGTAGCCCGTAGCGACTATGCTCGTGTGTGTGTCCAGGTTGATCTAACCAAACCGCTGTTGTCCAAGTTTTCTATTAATGGCAAAAAGTACTCTGTTCAGTACGAGGGGCTCGAAAAGATTTGCCTCAATTGTGGCACGTACTCCGAGAGGGGGGCGTGTACATGCACTAAGTTGCATGAGCCAATGGAAGCGGAGGAAGTGGACAAGACGATGGAACCTCAAGAAAAGCAAACAGAAAAAACTTACGGGGAATGGATGATTGCGAAAAGGAAACCACGGGCGGGAAAGAAAGACCAAGGAGGAGGGATGCGTCATGACAATGCCGCCCCTAGCCCAAGTGAGAAGATGAGCCCAGGAGGTTCCTGATTTGAGGCACTACACGTGGAAGAGACCACCGAAACACAACAGACACAGCCAACAGAAATGAGGGAGGATCCTGTTCCTGGCAAGAACCATCATGCCAAGGGATCAGGAAGGGCAAACAACGAACATACTCAAGAGACCCAACGAACAAGCACTCGGGAATCGGATCCCGTAATAGCAGGAAAGGATAAGTCGCAAGATAAGGCCAATATCGCAACAAAAGGACCCATCCCGGCGGAGAACAAAGAATTAAAGGGTACGAGGACGGAGAAGGAGATGGATAAGAACCTCGAGCATACTACAATCCCGAGACGCCTTAAGACGGGGCAAACCACGTTGGGAAAACAGGTGGCAGACCACAACCTAAGTGGGAAACCGCCTGACATGCCAGCCCATCAAACGAAGTCGACAATCACCGAGAATCCAAGCGACGCAAGCGCGATCCAGACGGCAATGGGTGTTGATGGGATCAGCCCATCCACGAGATAATCAACAGGGAGTCCCTTCCTCTCTTCCAGTTTTTATGGATTGTAAAATTCTTGCTTGGAATTGCAGGGGAGCGGGTAGTAGGAATTTCCTACCTGTCTTCAGAGAATATCGCAGAAAATTCAGACCTCATATTGTGATTATTGTTGAGCCAAGGATAAGTGGGGACCGAGCGCTTGATGTTATTCGGGACATGGGATACGATAGTTCTCATGTGGTCGATGCTCATGGGTTTTCGGGGGGCATTTGGGTGCTCTGGAATGCTTGCGACTTTGTAATAACTAGGATGAACTCTCACCCTCAATGCCTCCATGTGCAGGTGCATGACCCGATTTCTAATGGCCAGAACTGGTGCCTGTCGGCGATTTATGGGAGCCCTGCAGAAGTTCAGCGAAGAGATTTGTGGGAGGAAATTCGGAGGATCAATGAGGACATGGCGCTCCCATGGATGCTCGTAAGAGATTTTAACGCCATCATCAGCCCAAGTGAGAATCTCGGTGGTGCACCGTTTGACTCATCAAGAATTCGGGATTTTCAGGATGTGGTTCAGGACACTGGATTGAACGATTTGGGTTTCAATGGCCCGGCCTATACCTGGTTCAGAATAGGGCTGAGAGAAAGACTCGATAGAGGGATGGCGAACAACGGTTGGCTGGAAGAATTCCCTGAAACAACAGTCAGACATGTGCCCAGAATGAAAAAATCCGATCATCGGCCGCTATTCGTTTCAATGCGAAATGAGGCCTCGACAGGGGGGGCAAAGTCGTTCCGCTTCTTGGCGGCGTGGCTGACGCACGAAGGGTTCCGGGCGATGGCGGATGCTGCTTGGGCTAAGGGAAGCTCGTTCACGGATTCAGCAGCAGCCTTTGCATGGGACGCCACAAACTGGAATAGGAGAGTGTTCGGCCATATTCTGAGGAAGAAGGAAGATTTGCTCAGGAGGATCGAAAGACTTGAGAACGCCGGGGGAGGTGATGGAGCGAATGAGCAACTAGCCCAAGTCCAAGAGGAGCTCGAAATGATTCTTTTCCAGGAAGAGCTCCTCTGGTATCAGAAATCTAGACTAGACTGGTGACTCACTTCTACTGTCACCCTAGGAATTGGCCAAGTGAAACCACTTCCTAAAGCGTAGTATAGCGGGTTAGGTTTATATGTCAACCCGGGTCCTAGATCTGATGACTACTCGGTGAATTCTTGTTATCTAGCAATGAAACTGGAATGCAAGTCTAAACTACCAAACAAACAAAGCAAGTAAACTGTTGTATTCAGGTTAAGAGAGGTGACCCGGATATGGTTCCCCCTAGACTGCAGTTAAGCCGGATTGTAATTACCAAGTTTAGTTTCTATGATAGTTATACTGCGGAAGGTTCTTAAACAGCCTGAAGTCTCGACTAAAGGTCTTCAGACCCTCTCGATCTGAGTCTCTAGCGGGCGACTAACCTCCACCGGAGTAAACAGATTGAGGCCTTAACAAACAAAACCTCTACTACCGGAGTAAATCCGGTACAGAATAGTGAGTTGGCTCCTCGACTAAAGTCACCAACTCCCTACCTTCAATCAAGGATGCTCTATCAACCTAGGCAGATATTCTCATTCTAGGTCAAAGCAGAAACAACAGGAATTTGATCAGGATTCAAGTCATTCAATCATTCAAACCTCAATCGAATATAATCAAATCATAGAATCAGTACTTGGGTTCATACAATCAAAGCCTAAGATACAAATCTAGGGTTCTCCATACCCAGATGAATGGGAGAACTACTCCATGGAGAAAGAAGCAAAAGCAGAATCAGATGCGGAAGTCATACTGTGAAGGATGGATTCCTGCTTGTGGACGTTGATCGGCACTTCTCCAAGCTCAAACTGGCCTCCAATGGTGTTGAAGATCAAGCTAGGGCACTTGGAGACTCTTGTTCGTCGCTTTCTCTCTCTAGGAACTGATCTCTCTCTCTCTCTCTAAAACTCGAATCCCCTTCTCTTTGGCTGAAAATCTGCTTAAAAAGGCATCAGTGGCCAAAGCACGGTCGAGGGCACGACCGTGTAATGCCTCAGCCCGCCCGTGCTTTGGCTAGTGTTAATTACACTAGGAGAAACACGGCCGTGCTTTTGGGAGGACACGGCCGTGCTTTGGTGAAGCACGCCCGTGTTCTATCTCAGCCCTGCCCATGTTTTGGCCAATGTTTGCCAAACTCGAATTAGCTCTCGGTAGTAAAAGCACGATCTCAGAACACGGCCGTGTTCTGGTTTAGGTGTGCCCGTGTTTTGGCTCAGTTTCACCGAAATGACTTCCGAAGGCCCCGAAACTCGTGCTTAGCCTTCCCTTTTACACCTGGGACTTGAAACATGACAAAATATCACAACCCGGCATAAAATAGGCCAAAAACACACGACTATGCCCCTCAAACGGATAAGAACTAGGGGCGCAAATATGTGCAATTACATCGTTATCAAACTCCCCCACACTTAACCGTTTGCTTGTCCCTAAGCAAACCTAACTCAAACCAATGCAACTCTCCAGACCTTTATAGCAACAAACAACCCAGATCGTAGGTAGAGGACTTCCTAGATCATTTAGCAACTTACGAGGTCAACCGACGCACAAGTCATCTCATAGCTTCTTCGGCGAGAGCACTAGTATCGAGTCGGCATCATGGCAAATAGTGAACAGAGGACAAATGAATTGTGGATGAAGAGATTCTCAAAAACAAAAGATCATGGACTCACATTTTTCAAGGTGCTCTATATTCTTTGAAGATGGTTGGAACCCCTTTTCTTTCTGTTTTGCTTGTTTTCTGTTATTTTTTTTTCTTTTTTTCAAGGGTCCCAACCGGCTCTTACCGGCCATGCCAGGAGCGGATGTCTCGAGCCTCGTGCGGGGGAAAGACATGTAAGGGGTCTGGAGGTAGTAGGTGGAAATTGGGAACGAATTCCCGTCTCCCCTTACACACTTTCGTACTATTCGCACGGGAGACGTTATTTTGAAGCACATTTTCGAGCACCTGTTAAACTCAAAACATGAAACAAGAGTCCATGACAGGTAGAGAGTCCACAACACCACACAATTCAAGGGTCCTAAGATCACTAATTCACTCAATCAACCAACACAATATGAAGAAGAAATGAGATTTCTTAAATGCATCAACATCCTCCATAGTGCTACACTACCTCCCTAGGTTGCATATTACTGTAAAGACTGTCAATTCAAAGCATACTGAGCAGGCAATTGCAAGGAACACGTACTTGGAGCCCTCAAATTTAAAAATTTGGACAGTGGACTAGGCTCCAAGCACACAAACAGATCTAATGCAGTCAAAAGATAAACATCCCCCCACACTTAAGATCGACATTGCCCTCAATGGAGAAGAGGGAAGGGAAAGGGGAACGATGTTACCGGTATGCACGGACTGCAGGAGACTGGAAGTGGACCAGCCGAGTGAAGCGGACCGGAGAGGGAGGACCAGTCAAGCCAAGCACAGCTCAAGGAAACCAAAGAGCTCAAACTCAATATGTTAGGTCCAATGGTCAGCCCAATAAGACATCATCCAAAACAAAAGAAAACAAACCAAAACCAAACTGGTTTACAATCCGACTCAAAACACAAGAAAGAAAGTCAAACCGTGGTGGGGTTGCCTCCCCACAAGCGCTTCTTTACCGTCTTTTAGCTGGACGCCCATGGTGGATACTCAGGGAAGTGAAGGAACAGGTGCCTCCAAGAGCGGATCCACGTCGCTCTTGAGGTACAGCTTCAGGTTGTGGCCATGCGCCCGACGGATGCGACCACCATCATCGGTCAGCTCGACCTGGCCATCCGTTAAGATGTAGGCGAGTGAGTACCCGGACGGCCAGGGTGGTCGTGGTGCAAGAGGTTGGACCAGCTCATAGTGGTCTCCACCTTTCTTCCGTGCAGGCTTAGCAACCTGCTGCTTCGGCCGCCACTCCTCCTTGAGCTTTTTGTTCGGTGGTGAGGCTGGATGGAGTGGTGGCGAAGGAATAATAGGAGGGTCCTGCAAAATAAGAGGTGCAGAAGGGTACACGATAGGCTCGTGTACCTGATCAGAAATGGCATGCACAGGCGTGACAGCAATCATAGCACAGTGATCAAATTCAGTCACAGAAAAAGTAGCCTGTTCATTCCCAGCACGCAAGATCAGTTTACCATCATGCAAATCAATAAGTGCCTTGGCGGTGGCAAGAAATGGTCTACCCAGAATCAAAGGCACATCCACATCCTCATGTATATCAAGAATAACAAAATCAACAGGATATGTGAATGCACCTACTTTAACAAGAAGATCCTCTATGATCCCCCTAGGATGCACAATGGAACGATCAGCTAGCTGAATGCTCATCCTAGTAGGGCTAAGTTCACCTAGGTCTAGCTTTTTATACAAATTATATGGCATGACGTTTATGCTAGCGCCTAGGTCCGCCAAGGACTTGCCTACATGCATGCTGCCAATAGTAAGAGGGATAGTAAAACTCCCTGGATCCTTGCGCTTCTCGGGTAGCTTGTTCTGCAGGATAGCAGAACACTCCTCGCTCAGCAACACTGTCAAGAGATCCCCAAGTTTCTTCTTGTTGGAGAGGAGATCTTTCATGAACTTGGCATACTTGGGCATCTTCGACAGTGCCTCCACGAACGGTATGCTGATGTTGAGCTGCTTCAACATTGCCATAAACTTGGCAAACTCAGTCTCCAGCTTGTCTTTGTGTATGCGAGTGGGGAAGGGAAGCTGAGGTACATGCTTCTTAACCACTGGTTGTGGCTTGGGAGCAGGGGCTTCCTTCTCCACCCGCACTGCTGCATCGTCGGCTGGAAATGCTGAAGCAGATAGTGGTTCCTCCTGCCTGGCCGGGACAGGATCAGCAGATATGGTCTGACCGCTCATGGTAAAAATGGCATCCAGCTGTTGAAGCTGGTGAGGATCCCGAGGATTCGGAATAGTGGTGGCAGGCAGGGTCCCCGGTGCCCTGGTAGTATTTTGGCGGGCCAAGATACCCACCTGGGTCTGCAGATCTTGCAAAATGGCACCCTGGTTCCGCTGACCTGCCTCCAATGACGTGATAGCAGCCTGAGTGCTAGTCATGAATGAAGCTAGAATATTTTCCAGCTTTGTCATTTGGTCATCTGGGGCAGGGGCTGCTGCTGGCTCGGTGAACTGGCGCTGGGGCTGCTGGAATGGTTGCCCCAGCCTAGGCTGGTAGGGCTGCTGCTGTGGAACTGGGCCTTGTCGAGCCTGTAACGGCTGCCTCTGCTGAAAGCCACCAGTTGGTGCTGGGAAACCAGGTGGCTTAGTGGTGTTGCTCCCCCAAGAGAAGTTGGGACGCTGGCGCCACCCCTCATTATATGTGTTGCTGTACGGGTCGAGGCGCCGAGCATTGGCGATGAAGTCCAACTGCTCTTGGGGAGTAGTAGACTCCCTCATAGCCTGGCAGTCTTCCAATAAGTGATTCGAGCTCTCACACCACTGACACTGAGCAACTGGAGGTGTAGCCATACCTCTGCCCGGAATAAGACTGTTGGGCTGCTTCAATGTCTGCACTAGCTCAGCTACCTGCTGCTCGAGCCCGGATCTGGTCTCCATGGCGTACACACCACGGTCCCGGGACTATCTGCCTCGGCTACCCTGTCCCCAAGAATGATCTCTGGCAGCCAAAGTATTGATCATCTGCTTCAGCTCGGGTGGAGTCTTACTGAGAACATTCCCTCCTGGGCATAGAGACTCAATCACCCTCTGGCTGTCTGGAGAGAGAGCACTGTAGAAGTTTCCCACTGTGAATGCATCACTAAAGCCATGATGGGGACATTGCCAGAAATATCCCATGTACCGCTCCCATGCATCACGAAGTGACTCATCTGGCTCTTGGCAAAAGTGAGTGATCTCCCGCTGGATCTCTGTAGTCTTCGATGCCGGATAGTACCTGTGCACGAATTTGTCAGCCAGATCGTCCCAAGAGGTGATGGACAATGGGGGCTGGGTCTCCAACCACCTTTTAGCATTCCCCGCCAGAGAATGGGGGAAGAGATGAAGGCGGATCGCATCATCCGGGACACCATTCAGCTTGAACCCGTTC